CAATTGACATATGATAAGTAATAGCAGACCATAATTATTCTACAAAGTAGAGAAATAGAACAAAAATATGAGGAAGAGCATAGAGTAGATAGATAGAGGGAAATGAGGGATAAAGGTGAAAACTCTAAAGGGCAAATAGAAGAATATTTGACAGGCATGAAGAATAAAAGAATATTTGACAGGCATGAAGAATAAGGGAGACAAAAACATAATAGATAGAACACGAATTAAATTTACTTAAAAGTTATCAATTCCAAGTTTCCATAAATTTTGTGGATTAGAACTCTTTATATAGGTTCTAATCTTAACAGAAAAGGAAAACAATTAATAGGAAAATAAACCCGAAGTTTCTGAATTTGTTAAATAACTCCAATCTCTGACAAGGTCTTATTTCTTATTAGGAAAGTAAAAGCTTCTGTGTTAACTAGACTCGGTCCAGATGGCATAGTTTACAAACACAAGGCTAGACTTGTTCGAAGAGCTACGCTCTTGTAGCCCTATAGCCAGACATGAAAAAATCAAGCTACAAATTTCACTTCCTGCTTAGATGGGTTGGTAATCTACAACATGGATGTGGAACTTTAGATAACAGTTGGAATACCATTCTCACTAAATTACTTCAGTTAAATATGGAAATTTCATGGTAAGGATTGCAACTGCCAGATCTAATGCTCTGCGGGTTTCTAATGCTATGTAACTTTATGTTCAAGTTGTCACTTAATTTGAAATGCCCTTTATAAAGTTCACATGTTCTGATCAGTCTATAAGTTCAACGACTCACCTCGGTCTTAAATATTTTTGTTTAACGTGGTATGAACATCTTAGGAATCTTTGTGATCTCTTTTGTTGCAGAGGCTTCTTTCTCGGCATTTTGAGCTTGATTGGCATCTTCTTGAATATGTAAATGGCAAGTAGGTGAGATTCATATACTATTTCAGCAACTCAGTTTTCTTGCTTTGAATGGTTGGATCATTTGGAGAATGTTTGCAGTTAATTTTAAACAGACATCTTACGATGGGAATCAACCTCACCAAATTACAACTTGGTTATTGAGGTAACTACGAAGTGAAAATGATGCTTCAGAGAAAGTTTCTGATGACTTTATGCAGTCCCTTTTTTGAAAAAAAGGAAAAAGAAAGAAAAACTGATTGATGCATGTTGTTATAGGATCTGTGATCAAACCTGAATGCCTGAGTAATTATACATTATCAACCCAAAAAGCATATTTTTGTGTGTCAAATGAGAAGTCAGTGTAAAAGCTAGTCTTACGTATTATTTAATTGAGAATATGAATCAACTATGATCAGGTAGCAAAATTGTCTATGGAATGAAATGGATGTAAGATTTTTGCGAGGTTATTTGAGGTGTATGGGGATAAATATGCCACAGGCCAGTAAATGTAGGACACAGCTTAAAAGAAATTAAACAGGAATACTCAAATAGAGATGTGGCAACTTTGATGATCAACTCAGATAAATTTTAAGTAATGTTTGAATAGCAAATTAGAATTGTAAATTACTGAACATATTAACTGTACTGCATATTGGAATTTGTTTTCTTCAAAACTTCCTTTCCTGAATTCTCAGCGGTTAATTTTTGTAACATTAAGCAGATGATTTTTTAGAGTTGAAGATTTCGTATTACAAAATGGGATCTTTAATTTCATATATATATATATTTTTTCACATTAGTGTTTGACTTTTTATGTTCATTGATCCGCGACTATTAACATATTATGCTTTATTTTCTTCTTCTGGACTTTTTTCTCTTTTGGTTTTTATCTATTGACTTAGTTGTAGTCAGTTGATAATTAGTTTGCTACTTGTTAAGTGATTATGTTGAGAGTGATTAATTAACAGGTTGTATAGGCAATTCACATTTGAAGATTTTATGTCAAATGATTATAGAAGCTATTATATTATCTTAATAATGTTGATTATCTTATAATCTACCTTTAAAATTAATACATAAATAGAGGGATTTTTTTAGTTCGGTCTTAATCTGATTGAAGCCAATTTCATATGTCACTTGCACAAAAACTAATTTATCATTAATGAAGCAGGGTTGACTAAATTATTAGGTCAAGATTTAGGTGAATTATTCGTAACGACACATCTGGGTCTTCCTCTTCTTTTCGACTACACCTGTTGAAAAATAAATATGGCACTGCAATTTAAATTACAACTCTCATAAAGAAGCCTCAGCCAACAGTTAGAGGGGGTGGCGTAATTGAAGTAAGCTAAAAAAAAATTAGAAAGTGTCATGCGTGAGGGAATATAATCTAATTACAATGTTAATCCAATCACATAATGAGGAATCAACTGTTCCACTATTAGATCATAAACATGTGCCAACAATATTTTATGAAGATAATGATGCATGCGTGCATGACTTAATTGAGAGGAGACGTATCAAAAGAGAAAGAATAAAACATATTTCACCCCAAAAAGAAAAAAAAAAAAAAAAAAAAAAAAACATGTTACTCTTACAAGAAAGTTTGTATATTTAGATATAAAAAAAAGTTAGGAATATAAAATGTATGATCCTGAGAAATAAAGAATATTATTACACGCGTACGATTTTTAGTGGTCCCTCCCCTCCATGCCGCCACGAGTTGTATGTTTGATGCGAAACACCATAGCATTTCCCTTTTCTACCCTCTCTTCTAAAAATAATAAAATATTATTTTCTAATTAAATTTACATTTATTAATGAAAAAATTCTAATTTAAATCTATTTAAAATAAATATAAATCTTCGTGTTAAGCAAAAAATTAAAACGTTTGGAAAGCGCGTGGCGAAGTGAAAGGGTTTGTTTAAACATTGTGCACCTGGGTGGAGCAGGTTTGAAGCTGTCACGCGTGGAGGGATCGCTGGGGCCCAATCGTGTGGACACTTGTCAATTTGGTCTGCTGGCGACAGGCAGACGATACAAATATCAATTGCGACACGTGGTAAAATACTATAGGTGACTTGGAAAATAATAATTTTAGTTCCCTACTTTTTCACAGCCGTTGACATTTTTTCTAAAAGTAATTACTTGACTTTTAATTAATAAGATTATTAAGTAAATAATTAATTCTCAAGTAATTATTTATTTTAGGTTTGTTTGTCTTCAAAGTAATTAGAGAACTCATGCTTCAAAACCCACGAAGATTTTCTTTGAAAATTTTATTTAAGAATGCTATTGGTACTATCTTCTATATAACTTAAGAAGTGATTTAACATAATAATAATAAAAATAAAAATAAAAATAAAATTTTAATATTATATGTGATTAGTCGTATATTTACTTAATAACTCAGTATAAATCATACTAGTTTTAAAGGTAAATTTTTTTTTTGAATATTAAAAATATCAAAAAATGAGATTTCAGAATTTTTAATTAAAATAATATATGCTAATCAAAAAAATAATATTAAAAAAATAATTTTTATAGTTAACTGTCATTTTAAAATTAAATTATTAGTATTTTAAATTATTACATATAACTTTTTGCATATTTTTAATAAAATTATGCAATTTTTTTTTATGTTAAATGAATTTAAATTATCTCTAATAACTCTTTGAATCTTTCTACATATAATTGCATGTCTTTAATAGATTATAAGTGATGAATACATATAGCAAAAACGTAAGATTTAAAAGAAAAATATTCTTCATTCTCTTGACCTTACATTGACTCCCCAAATGAGCTTTTCATTGTAAATTTATCTTTTGAGAGAAAACTATAGCTTTTCATCTTTTTTTATTGTAATATTAGAGATGAATATATATAGTTTTAAACAATAGATAAGTTTGTTGTATATTAGGCTAAACTAAATGGAAGCATTCAATTTTTTTTTTTGGTTATATATCAAGATAATATAAATGAATTTTTAATTTGATTTATATGATTTACTTTTTATTATCAGATAAAAAAAGTTTACAAAAATTAATTAAAAAAAACCATTAAAACTAAAATATTATTGTATATATAAGTTTTACAACCCACAAGTAATTTACATAAAGTTGTCATAAATTTCATGATTATATTATGTCATTAATATTATATATTATTTAATTAGTTGTATTATCACGAGTTATGTTGTAGCACCCGGAAAGGAGGAGAAAAAAAAAAAAAAAAAAAAAAAAAAGAAAAGGGGGGGCCACGTCAGCAGCCACGTCAGCAGTCTCGGCCAACCAGGGCCTGCCACGTGGCAAGATCGCGTCACTCCGAAAGGAGCCACGTTGGCGATCCGCGTGGGTGCGATCCGACGGCCCAGATCAATCACGCGATCGGACGGCCCAGATTCAAACGCACGGACGGCCCAGATTAAAACGAAATGAATGGCTGTGATCAAAAGGCAAGGGGTTATAAATAGAACCCCCACACCAGACCACAAACCCTAGCCGCCAGCCGCTCGCCGGAGAAGACGAACCAGAGGCCGACCGCCGCCACCCGCCGCCGCACCGGGGAAATTTCCGACCGCCGATTGAGGTAAATTTCATACCCCCGACTCGTTTTTCCCCGCTGATTCCTCCTATGGCCAAATCGAGGCCGAAATCCTGGCCAAACGGCCGGAATACGCGGCCGAAGCCCAGCGGCGCCGCCGCGCCCCTCTCGGTTTTTGCCTCCGACGAGGCCCTTCCCGGCCTCCGTTCGATGCAATTTTTATATCACCGTGATCACCATTCTTTTCTCTACAGGTTGACCGGAGCCGAATCACCAAAACACGAACCTCGCCGGAGAGCCGCTGCACCCGAGAGCGCCGCCGCCGGTAAGCTCCGTTTTTCCGTGATTTTTGGCCCCCCCGGGGGCCCTAGGGTTGTTTTCTGACAAGGACCAATGCGAGTGTGGCCGAATTCGGCCGAAAACAGCCAACCCGAGGCGACTCGCCGCCGCCAGCGGCGGCGCCGTCGCCGGAGCACGGCGGAGCCGCCGTGCCGGAGTTGCGATTTGGTCCGAAAGGGGCCCTGGGCCTAATTTGGATTTTTTTTGGAACACGTGCAGGTACTGTTAGTGTGTTTCAGTTCCCCGGGAAAAATTCAGGGAAAATTATGGACGGCCTGCAGGCGCACTGTGAATCGTATTCGGATCCCGAAAACAAGTAAGGACCCCTCACCCTATTTCCTATCACGGTATTAAAGTTCAAAATGATAAAACGGTACTTCTTGAATTAACGCATGTGTGAAATTGCTTAAGGTTGCTAATGGAGCCCGAGTCTAGTGTGATTGATGATTTACTGTTATTTGGCCTGTTTACAGCTTTAAATGCAAAATGAGGTTTGATGTGTTCATTTTACAGATTTGTGTGCATGTACTACGTTTTTATTAATTATGGGTTGAATGACTGAAAAACTGATACTGTATGTTGTCTGTTTGGTATGAATTACGATTTGCTTGTTTAAATGTGAATTGATGATGTTGATTGAGGAAAAGGAAAATGAAAGATTGTGTAGACTGATAATTGTATTATGGGGGTCAGCCTGACTAGATATCCTGGGAGATGGTGGACGGACCGGGTCCGTAGGGAACCCTACCGGGATTGTGGTCTCACATGCCGGACGGGGTATGGAGATCTTATGGTTTTGGCGCCCATACCGGACGGGGTATGGGGACGGCCCGTTTCACCCTCATACCGGACGGGGTATTGAGGTTTATGGTTTTGGCGCCCATACCGGACGGGGTATGGGGACGGCCCGTTTCACCCTCATACCGGACGGGGTATTGAGGTTCATGGTTTTGGCGCCCATACCGGACGGGGTATGGGGACGGCCCTGGAAACTGATTATGAATGTTAAAGGTTAACGGGTAGCGGAACCCCTATGGACCCCCACGGATACTAGTAGGCTGGTAAATGAGAAAAAGGATATGTTGTACAATGATTGAATTACAAGAGGCGTGATAAGTGTTATGTTTTACAGCTTAGATTATTCAATGATTATGATGATGTTATTGTTTTTCTCATATTGTTTTCATAAATTCCACCAAGGTAAGTGGATGGTAAAGGTTTTCATGTTAATAAACGAGTTTATTGTAAATTATGCTCCATTGGTCTTTTTGTGTTTTTCTACCCACCTTTACCTCCGTGACGGTGAGATATCGTGATGTTCTTACTGGGCTAGTGTAGCTCACTCCTTATTTAACCATTTCAGATCAGGAAGACATGGTTCCCGAGCCCGTTCCGCAGGAGGACGACGAAGGGGATACCTAGAGACTCTGTAGTCATACTCATAGTTTTATTTTCGAGTTTCTCTCTTAGTTAGTTTAATCTTTTATATTTTAAGTACGTTTCTGGTTTTTCGTGTAAGGGATGTTAACTGAAATTTTGATCTCGCTTCCGCATTTGATATATTTAAATACTCATTTCATTTTAA